CACCGACACCGGTAAACCATTGGGACCACATGCTCAGACATATGTCAATCAATGTGGGGTCATTGTAAAGGATAGGATCCCAGTTAGTGCTCGTGAAAGGAAGCAGAAGATATCCGCTCCTAATGTTAGTTTTGTATCTGATCGTGACAAAAACCTAGCTTGGAGAGATATCACTCAGCATTTCATATTACAAGCAGATGATGCTTTGAAGGAGCTAGTGAGGGATTGGACAATGAAGAAGATGGCAACATTGTTCTAGAGTTGGAAGAAGACATTGTATAAAAAGTTTATCTTGAAGAATGAAACGCCGGATTTCAATGCTAAGGCGTTTGTCAAGTTGGAGTCCCATTGGGATGACTTCGTACAATACAAGACATCTCAAGAGAGTGATGAATGTGTGATGAGGAATCGGCAGAATGCCCGACAGAAGCAATACCATCATCGCATGAGATCAGGTGGTTATAGGAGTGCTATTCCCAAGTGGCAGAACCTAGAAGTAGAGATTACTGCCAAGGGAATCATACCTGAAATAATAGAGAAGAACTGGCCTCAACGCGTGAAGAATTGGTTCTACGCTCATGGGGGAAACCTAGACCCAGACACTGGCAAGCTAATTTTCGACCAAAAAATTGAGAGAGCAACATAGATACTAGTTCGTGCTAGGGAAGAAGCTGATAGCGGTGTTTTCAAGCCCAACAGAGAGAAGGATGAATTGACATATGCCCTAGAGAATCCTGAACACGGTGGTCGAACAAGAGGCTATGGGGCGGTTCCGTGGCTACAAGCATTCCCAGCAGACAAGGATACCTACAGAAGCCGCCAGAGAAAGAAGGATGAGGAGGTAGACCAAATCCGTGTATTGGAGCAATTTGTTAATGAGTCACGACAAGCATTGCTTGAATCACGTGAACGAGAAAAATCTCGAGGCAAGAATGCAGGAGGAGATCAAGAGGCAAGTGCAGCTAGCAATGAGTCAAATGCAATCGCAATCAACACCGGGAGTCACCATTAGCCCCGTTGGTCAGATGAAAAGCAGTTGTGCTTCCACGGAGCTACCAGTTATTCAAGATGACGCTGGGTTGCGCTTCCCTATTGATGACATTACCGAGCCTCTAACAACATGTGAGCTGCACATTCCAGATGGTAATAATGCATCAATCATGGTGGCTGTCGGGATTGTATCTCCAATAGATCGAACGAAGACACTAAGAATCCATGGGTCAGTTATTCAACCTGGATATGCTAGCGTCTCGGTCGATAGAGTGCTCAAAGGTTGCAGCAATGTTCCTCTTGACATTGAAGGCGGTGATGGGGAGAAGACACTAGGAGAAGCAGAGAAGACATTTATTCAATGGCGCAAATGCTTCATCATCATTCCTGGGACGCCACCGCTTCCCCTACCTCACCCTAGGTACGAATGAAAGTGAATGAAATATTATTTTCCATTAATTTTATATTAGCTTAAAAAATAATTGACTCACAACTTGTTTTTGTAGCAGGGTCTCCCCCCATCCTAGCCCAATCATTCATTCCCCATCTCATCACAGCGTCGCGGGGGGCGAGACGACTTCATCCCCACGGCGATCTCCAACTTCTACACCGGTCCCATCGCCTCCACAACGATCTCCAACTCCTACACTGGCCCCACCGCCTCCACAACGATCTCCAACGCCTCCACGCCGGTCTCCAACACCGGTCTCATCGCCTCCACGCCGGTCTCCAACACCGCCCCCACCCCCTCCATAGCGTTGCACTATAGAGACGTCTAAGGTCCCGGCGGCAAAGAAGACCCCGAAAAAAAGAGTTATTTATCAAGAAATACTTCCTGAAAAGACTGATGAGCAAATAGCAGCTGAAGAAGACAAAAAAGTGAAAGATTTTTTTATAGATATCAAAAAGCAGAGACAAGCGAAGCTTAAGGAGAAGCCGTACTTTTACATACCACGAGATCTGCTGAGGCAGAAGGTCGAAGATCACAAGAAAAAGATGCTTGAACTTCGTAAGCCTCCGCCACTATCAGACTATGACCGCTCCCTTGTGAAGTCATATGATGCAGATAAGAAAAGGAAAAGAGCATCAGGGAAGGATGTCCCATAGCTTGGACAACAGAAGCAACCAATGCAAAATCTTATTGTTACTAATGAATATGGTTCCAACATAGAAATCTATCGACCAGACAACTCTGGAGAAGTGTCAGTTCAAGACCTTAATGCTTTTTTAAAGATACTGGTTTAACCTTGGATCAATTGATGGGCAAAGCTCCAATCCGGAACCTGGAAGTTGATACCTGGAAGACTTATAAATTTGGCAAAAGTCTGTACAACCCTGCGGCTCTGAATGAATTAGGTACGCAAATATACTTGCTCAACAAGTAGTACATGCAGGCGTGTGGCAGGGGTGAGGAGTGGATCTTTGTCAGATTTAGAGACCATCATTGCTTCTGTGGCGATGACATCTTACATATTAGTTTCAAAAAATTGCATCAACTATGCCACATGGACGCTCTAGACAAATCAATCATTAGCTCCTTTTGTTTGTAAGTGATTCTTACTTTTATTTAATAAACTCACTTCCATGCGTACGTGTATATAATTATCCTCACATGTAACTTATATTTATATACAGATTCCAGATGTCAGAGCTCCAAAGAATACAAGACACCAGTGTTGGCTTCATTGATCCTTATATCGTATTCAAAACCGATATTATTCCCAAGGAGCAGTGGGTATCTGAAGCACAGAACAATATCATGAGGTTCTTCGTGAAGCAGCACAATAAGACAACAATACTTTTCCCGTACAGCTTTGAGTAAGTGTTAATAATAATGTAGTCTACACATTTTATGTAATATCAATACAACTTATATGCATGTACGTGTGTGTATAAACCAATGTAGGTTTCACTGGATACTCATTGTCATTGAGTTAAACTCAAGTCGGTTAGTAATCTTGGACTCGAAGAGAAAAGAGCGGGCACTATACCAAGATATGATAGACATTATCCAGGGGTAATTTCGATCTCTCGCGCACAACTATTATTGAATAGACTTTGTCATAATTTATTAACGATCGTACATTATTGGTCGCACAGGGTTTGGAAAGAATTTATTCGGCAACACCGCAAGGATTGCAAGGCACCACTTAATGTAGTTGAAATACTAGTAAGTTGTACTATATATACTTCCCCACGTGTTTAATTACTATATCGTACTTCAATTTACGTGTGAGATGATTAGAATAATCTTCTTCTCGTACAGTGGTGTTTGCGGCAGCAACCAGGTAATAACTTGTGTGGATACTACGTTTGTGAATTTATCACTGCGCACATAAGAAGAACTCATAAAGATATCCTCAGAGTACATATATATCAATTTTTATTTATTTTTAAATGAATATATATATATATATATATATATATTAATACTTTTTATTTTATTTCAAATGCAAGACTGAATGATTGAAACAAAGGGTCATGCAAAAAGACCATCTGAAAGCAGTTCAAGAGTCAATAGCAGGATTTCTTCTAGAAAAAGTGCTAAATCCCAACGGCGAGTTCTACTTTGATCCTAAGGAATAAATGATGTAAATTAAACGTTTATTGATATCGTTATTTTCGAGAACAAGATTATGAAAGTGTTGTATATATACATATATATCTATAATATATATAGTTCCATACTTTATTCGAATATAATAATGCTCGAGATGAGAATTAGATGTAATTATATGCGTGCGTGTATTTATATTAGCAGCGTAGAATACATACATAAAAACATATTATATATTAAACAAATATGTGTAACTGAACTGAAAACAAATTAAACAAAAAAAAAGAAAAAGAAAAGGAACATTTAGTCCCGGTTGGGGTTACCAACCGGGACTAAAGGGTGCGGCCACGTTTGCTCGATTGGAGGGCCTTTAGTCCCAGTTGGTAACACACCAACCGGGACTAAAGGTCCCTCTTTAGTCTCGGCTCGATGACACACCTTCAGTCATGGGATCATTGTCTCAGCGCGGTAACCGGAACTAAAGACCGTTACCGCCCGGGACAACAAGGCGGTAGTAACGGTGGCTGCTTGGTGCATATGGAATGAAAGGAATGCAGCTATTTTCAATCGAATGGTGCCTAGTGTACTTTCTTGGAAAAGCAGTTTCAAACAAGAGATCGAACTCCATCTCTGTACAGGATTAAGCCCAATCTTCACTCTGCTATCCGGTTGTGGTTGGACAGTTTGTAATTTTCTTTCTGTCAGACTTTTTTCCTCTTTTTTACCCCTTTTGTTGGCTGGTTAACTTTTGGCTAGCCTTGTAACCTTCTTTTGGATCCTTCGGATCTTTCTCTCTTTTAATATATATTGCCGCCAGGGGGCTCTTTGCCCCACGGTTTCAGTTCAAAAAAAAAAAGGCTACAAATATCAGCTAGAAAATGAGAATTGAACATATAGTAACAACAATGGAGATGGATAACATGTTATTGAATTCTAGTGTAGCTAGTTACAGTATGGTTTTGCAACTTTGTGAAAAGAAGTATACAGTTGAACACACACACACATATAATGTTACGTAAAACAAGTAGTGCATATAAATTAGCAATTATTGTTATTTTTTATAATTATATTTAGATATTTTGAGTGGGTTAATTTCACTGCGACTGTATTGTTAAATGTTTATGCTTTGCAACCTCGAGTTCATTTGAGTCAATATATTTTATTTGTCAGGTCTATTTCATAATTAACAAAACATTGAGCTATAGGAAAAATCTAGATAGATAGCAACAAAATAGATGATTAACCAACAGTTTGCTATTCCTGATTGACATTCAATAACTTCGAGACTACAGAGTCACCATGCGGTTCACGTTCTTTTACATGTCACCTCATGATCAAGATAAGCTAATGAGGTTATATTTTACTAGATCTCCTAGTAACACATCTTGGCCTCATGATCATAAGTATCTTCTCATTAAGTTTTTTCCCAAATTAGTACCATAGATGTATATAATTAAAAATAAAAGGGTGATACCTTCATTTCCTCCACAAAGGAAGGGAATCCGCCAATTGCCATCAAGGTTAGAAGGCCACCGGTGAACATTAGCATTGATGATCTAGACTGAAACAATAGAATCAATAACATTAACAACTTTCACAACTAGCCTACTTCATATCTTAGACTACTAACACAAGATTTAATCAACTTACACGAATAGAATCATATCCATAGCCAAAATTGTAATATATGGAACCAAGGCATAGACTCATGGAAATATATATGCCAAGTCTCAACCAGTAGTATCCAACATCTCTGTACATGTTTACAAATGATCTTTCGGTGAGTACAAACACCTTGGTCAGGAAACTGGCTTGGTTTCTTCTGACCATCAATCCACCCTATAGGTTAGCAAACCAAAATAATATCTTATATGTCATCTCCGTGGAAGATTACACAATAGTCAGAAAACGTGAGTATATATACTAACCATTTCATTTATGTCATGCATTTCCTTTTTGGCATTTTCTAATATATTGGAGGATTTATAGGCATTCATCAAAATTGTTATTGCTTCGTCTGCTGCAGATGGCTTGAATACTGATCTTTCTTCATTTTCCTGTATGTTATTACTGTGTTAAAAGGATACTTCCATGAAATGAAATGATCTCTCTGTAATCTACGACAATAGCTATAGTAAGAACCTACATTGACAAGTATTTGAATCTAATCCAAATATGTCTTTCCATGTTTGCTTTGATTAACTATTGGAGAATAAGGGCATGATCAGATAAATCTTATATACCGATTCAAAATCTCTGTTGATTGTCCTCAAGAAATGATCTGAGGGATTTCTCATTGGTGGGCAAGGGTAGCCGTTTGATGTGAAGAACTGCAAATATAATGTATTGTAATTTGTAAATGAAAGTTCTTAGAAAGCTATAAATAAACATTTTTGTCTCTCATAGTTAATAGAAAGTAAAGAAAGATGACAACAATTACCTCAGCGGCATCGGCGGCTGGGCCAAAGTAGATGGTCTGTCCGGAGGCGAGCAAGCAGAGGCCATGGAAGAGCTCGAACACCTCGCTACATGGCTGGTGCACGACGGCAATGATGATCATGCCATCCCTGACGGCGAGGTTGGCGATGCGGTTCATCACGTGGAACGAGGCGTCGCTGTCGAGCCCGCTACTGGGCTCGTCGAGGAATAGCAGCCGCGGCCGCGTGAGGATCTCCAGGCAGATGCTCAGCCGCTTCCGCTGCCCGCCGCTGATGCCCTTGGTTTCGCGTCCGCCGATGCGTGTGTTCAGTGCGCTGGTGAGCCCCATCTCCTGGATAGTCTCGTCGGCGAGGGCGAGCTTCTTGGCAAGTGGCATGGGTGTCCGGCAGTTGGATTTGAGATGAGTAGTAGATAGCCTCACGTGTGGGCCTGTTTGGATGACGCCCTGGCCCCTGGCTGTCTGCCAGGCAACGCATCCTGGCCACAGGCACAAGAAATCGGACGCCTGGCATTCTTGCCTGTCTTCTGAGTTGTTTGGCAGTCACCATCCAAACAGGCCCAGTAAGCGTGGCCATCAGCACGTTCTCTTGCGTCACGTACGCCTGAATTGAATCATTCATTTGGTATTACTCGACCTAATTTTTTTTACGAAACAGGAGGGGTTAAAGCTCCTACCGGTAATTTTACTGAAACAAGAGTAAAAGAGTACAAACTTAAACTCATGAAATGAAACAAAAAAGCACTACTAAAAAAAAGGTTTATAGCAGTGGGATCTTTTTTTTAGGGACGACGGGTGATGAAGCCGTCCCTACAGTGGACATGCTCGGTACCCACGAGACCAGCCACCCCTATAAATGGTACAGTAAGGATGGCTAGTGATACGAGCCGCCCCTACAAATAGATCGATTTGTAGGGGCGACTCACTCACCAGCCGCCCCCACTGTTGCGATTTTTAGAGGCGGCTCAATCTCTAGCTATCCCTACAAATGCTCCACGTATAAAATGTTGCAGCCCTCTTCTTCCTCCTCGAGTCACTCACTCTTACTCGAGAAAAAAAAGGCTTGGGAGGCCTTGGACACCTCCCAAAAATTGCTCTACTAAGGGGGAGGTTTTGGTCTTAAATCCTTTGTTGTGGGGTTGTTGAAGGTAAGGAAATGCTATTCCAAACTTTTTTTAAGTTTAAATGGTTGGTTAGTGAGTAATTAGAGTTTTGTTTTTCTCTCTTTTCTATGGTACTTGAGCTACTTATGAAGCAAATTAGACCCAAGTTTTGAATGTACTAGGATAAATTAGGTAGAGAAATAAGATCATACCCTTATTTAGTCGATTTTCTTGATTTTAGTGAACAATTAGTTAGTTTGATGGATGTTTCATGTGCATTTAAATCTAGATTTAGGGTTTGATTTTTTTTATTAATTTTATTTTTATAAATTTATGTTTGATGAAATTGGACTAGGGTTTGCATGAAAGATATTGGGTAAAATATTAATTGTTGCTAATTGTTGTCTTTGAAATTGTTTATTGTAATTAATAAATATGTATTTTTAATTATTTATAGATAAATAGGTCATTAATTAATTATCTCTACCATGGTGTGTTTGATATGCTTCATATAATTATATTTGATTTATATTTATATATATCTAAAGTATATACAATTATTCTCAAGTAATTATTAATTTAATTTATTTTATATATATATCTGAATAAGTAGTCATTAAATGTATTTTCTTTGGTTGTTGTTATAAAAGATGGAATATAGGAACTTTAGGATGTATGGTTCGTTAAGGTTCAAGATAGGTTTCCGTGAAGAGGTGGATAAATTTATTGAAACCGCAGAGAAGCATGCAACGACGTTGATAGATAATAAAGATACAATTATTTATCACTGTAAAGATTGCAAGAACCGTATGGCATGGACAGATGTGACTATCATCAGATCACATTTGATTATGCGAGGATTTGTTGAGGACTACACAGTGTGGATTCATAATGGTGAAACGGTTGTTGTTAACGACGATGAGGAGGAATACGACGACGAAACCCTAGAATCCCTGTCCCAATATTCAGCAGAGCTTGACGCACGAATGGATCCCGAGTTTGACAATGAACAAGGTGGTGATGCTGGTGGTTGGGATGGTAACGACGAAGGTGATGCCAATAATGATGGCGGAGCATGTGTCGAGGATGAAGATGATTTGGAGGACATGATTTGGGCCGTTGGACCAGAGATTTTACTAAGGAGCCCAAAAGATCTAGAAAATTTGGATAGGGTGAAAAAAGCATCGAAGGAGACTGTGTATGGTGTTGACAAGGGTTGTCTGACACACTGGACAGTGCTATATTTTGTGCTTGAGCTACTCATCCTAAAGGCTAAGTACGGCTGGTCAGACTATAGTTTCAATGATCTATTGCGTCTCCTATCATGATTGCTGCCCAAGCCAAACTCAGCTCCTGCCAACACATACCAAGCGAAGAAGGTTATAAGTCTATTGACAATGAGGGTTGAAAAAATCCATGCATGCCCCAACCACCATATCCTTTTTCAATTCGTGGCGACACATTCAAGTCACTAGATAAATGTCCCAGGTGTGGGGCTAGTTGGTACAAGAACAACGACCTTTACGATGGGGATGAAGCCTCCACGGGGAACAAGAGGAAGAAGGGTGGGAAAAAGGTGGTACAAGATTCTCAACCCCCAGATGACACTCCATTAAGCAACGATGCAAAGCAGAGAAGAATTTCTGCCTTGATAATGTGGTACCTGCCAATGGTTGACCGTTTGAGGCATATGTTCCTAAACCCTAAGGAAGCCACACTCATGACATGGTGGGATGATGAGCGCAAGGTGGTTGATGATGTGATTGCACACCCGGTCGATAGTACTTAGTGGCAATGCTTCGATGACAAGCACAAAGATTCTAGCGCTGACCCAAGGAATGTACGGTTTTGCTTGAGCACCGATGGAATGAATCCCTTCAATGAGAGGACCAACGACCACAGCACATGGCTAGTGATCTTGACCATGTACAACATCCCAACGTGGCTATGTCAGAAGAGAAAGTACCTTCTCCTCACTATTCTCATTTCGGGTCCAAAATATGCAGGCATTGATATAGATGTGTTCCTCGAGCCTTTGATGCAAGAAATGTAGAGGCTATGGAGGCATGGGGAGCCGATGTACGATGTGTTCTGAAAGGAGGACTTCATTTGTGGAGCCATGATCTTTGTTACTACCAATGATTACCCCATGCTATTTGCTTTGTTTGGACAGATCAAAGGAAAGATGGGATGCTTAGTCTGCTTGGATGGTACTACATGGGTGTACCTAGATGCATCCAAGAAGATAATTTACCTCAGGTATAAACGCTTCTTAAAGACAAATCACAAGTACCACAGCAAGATATACTTTAGATATTATGACAACAAGTCGGAGAATGAACCCCCTCTAGAGACACGTAAAATCGGGCAACACGCGTTCAAAATTGTGAAAAACATACGTGTCATCCTCGAAAAGAAGAATCTAGATGGGACAAAGAAAGTTAGAAGCACACCTCCTGTCACAGTCGTACCTGTCAAGAAACAGTCGATCTTCTTTTTGTATCTGCCTTATTGGCCAGACTTGGAGGTCCCTCATGCCATTAATGCTATGCACGTGTAGAAGAATGTCTTTGAGAGTCTCATTGCTATCTTGATGGACACATACAAGACAGAGAATGGTCTAAAATCATGGAAAGACATGGTGCAGCTAAATGTGAAGGCAGAGCGTCACCCGGTACCTAAGGGTAATGGAAAATACACTCTGCCCACGGCTAGCTTCAACCTGACCCCAGAAGAGAGGAGGGCGATATGCACTTTCCTTAAGGGGATCAAAGTTCCCACAGGATTTTCATTGAACATGAAGAGGCTAGTGTCGATAAAGGACCTGCCAATAAAAAACTTCAAGGCTCATGATTGTCATGTGATGTTGACAGTGTTCCTACCCATTGTAATCAGGGCTATAAAGCCAGAGTTCTTGAAAATGGCCATCACCCGCATGTGCTACTTCTTTATGAAGATCTCATAGAAGACGATTGGCAAGAAAGAGCTGAGTGACCTACATGATTTCATGGTGGTGACCCAAAACCAACTAGAGATGTGTTTACCTCCTGCTTTTTTTGATATAATGCCACATCTCATGATTCACATGGTTCATCAGATAGAGGCCCTGGGCCCTTGCTACTTGCATGAAATGTGGTCCTATGAGCGGTTCATGTCGGTTCTAAGCCGATACGTGCATAATGGAGCATACCCAAAGGGCTCCATGATAGAGGGTTATAGTACTGAAGAAGTCGTTGAGTGCTGTCAAGAGTACCTAAAAGTATAGAGAGGAATTGGTAAACCTAATTCTCATCACAAGGGTAGGCTGGCTAGGAAGGGCACCAATGGGAGAAAAGTGTCCATTGACAATGATTACAAAGAAGTGAGTCGGGCGCATCATAGTGTCTTGTAGAGTACAGAACTGATGCAACCATACATTGATGAACACTTGGCTATCATTAATGAGGAGAGAAATGGTCGTACAAATGAGTGGGTTATGAAACATCACAAGCAACGATTAACTATATGGTTGAAGGACCAAAACATACCGATTGGAGAAACCACAGATGATATTACCATCAGTATGTTGGCGACGAGGCCATTAAGATAAGTGACATCTTGGAAAGCTTACAAGATCAATGGGTACACATACTATACCCACGCAAAGGATAGTACATGTGTGAACCAAAATAGCTACGTTCGAATAGAAGCTCTTGACGAAGTGGGGCGAAAGATCCAATACTTTGGCATCATTGAAGATATATGGGAACTTGACTATGGAATGAATATAACGGTGGCCCTGTTTTGATGCCGCTGGATCAAATAACACTAAGTGAATGAGATCGGGTTGACAGTCGTGGACCTCAAGAATCTAGGCTTCACGTGTCGCACAAGTTTTCTATTTACCCGACCCACAAAGTAACCTCCCCCCAAGAAGAAGACAAAGCACATGGTTGCCTCCGGGAAACAGCACATTATCGGAGTTGATGGCATGGACGATGTTGATGAGTACAATAACTGCGCTAAAATGTAGCTATTCATAGACTTTCCTAAGAAGATCAGTGCTGTGGAAAAGAACCTGCCCAAAGACATATTACCATGGGAACAAAAAGGTGTCAAGGGGAAAGTTGTTATGGGCTAGCTAGTTGTTCAACATGGAGTGTTTGTGTAAGTGTGTGTGTATCGATGAGACTTTATTTATGTATGTGTGTGAGACTATATTCACTACTATAGATTGACTTATCACTATCGCCATTTTCACTGCTATAGCGATAAAAGCGTCGGTGTGATACTTTC